AAGAGCAAAATTGAAGAGAAGATCTATAGAAATCCAGTTCGGTCAGGAGCCCGATTTTTTTTTTTTAAGTCCTATAAAAATAACTCTCGAAAAAGGTTTAAWAAAACGGGCATGGTTAAACATGAATTACAGGGCCTGACAAAAAAAACCTCCCGTACTTAGAGATCGTACTATTTGAATTTTCGTGGCGGTACAACTATGATGTAGGGAGTATCAGTCGGCAGAGGATTATATTTCTAACGGCGGTTCTGCGATTTAAAATGGCACGTGTGAGGGTGTCCATCTTATCAATCTCCAAGACATTCAGCAGTTAAACATGCAGCTTCTCTGGGACTTTTTGATAGGCGTTTAAGAAGAATCCTGCGCAGAAATCTTCAGATGCACTCATACTAAAAATGGCATAGTATTTGTAATTCAGAATATTTTTTCTGTATCTTTTTTGATTATTTATAACTGCTTTTTGAAATGCGGGAGGTTTTTTTGCCGGACCCTGTATTATAMGAAGATTTGCAAATATCAAAAATCGGGCATCTTATGGAACCACATGAATCTCCTTTAAAATTTTGTTTGTATGTGTTTTACAATAAAACCACTCACTAACCCACATTCTATGACCGCGTAAAGTACCAATGTTTTATAAGAAAACCATAAAAATTACGGCTTGTCACGACGGCGGCTAAATATGGTTAACAACGTTATCTCTTGAGCCAGTGACGCCAAACCCTATGTTAAGGCCGGGCCTTTGTCTGACATATTTTGAAAATTTAGTATAGGGCTGCTTTATATTGACYACTTTCCTCTCCACGTTACGCCATTTTTGTCGATATTAAGATATTGTGCCTCTTGAAATATTTTTCGCGCTACTAGATTTTTAGGACTTCGACGCCACTGTCTTGAGTATTTCATGTCCACACGTTTCCATGAGACAATCTCTTAATAATGAACAGTTATTATTAAGTTATTTGCAGGGCAATGAATTAAATGTGCWCCAATGACAATGATATCTGCATACATTTATATGCATTGAATAATAGAGAAATATATACCAATAACAGTTACTATTCCAAAAGTCRAGATTATKTAAGATTAACTTTGGTTATTAGGTTAAGGCTTGAAATAGGTATTGCAGCAATAATATGACGCGTAAAATGTTATAATAGTATTTGGCATGTTGAAAAAAATAGATAAGCTTCGTAAATATATATATATATATATATATATTGTTTGAAAGAATTTATGAAAAAATAGATAATTTTAAATAATATTTAGAAGCTTTTTACATTTGATTATTTTGTATGGTCTGTATTTGCAAATACATAATGTTCTCCGACCAAAACGTATGTAATAAAAACATAAAAAAGTTAGTATCTATACTATGCATTTTGGAATATGGAATACATTATTAATAATGCAAATACTACATTTTGTAAAATTTAATTTCTGAAGTAAAATATTAATGTTTTTAATTACATTTTTATCTCATTTATTTTGAACTCAAAATTAAATTCATGAATATGAAAAATCGATAAACTCACACAACATAGCTTATAAACTTAATACTTATCATAGTTACATTAACTGCCTCCAGAAGTAAAAAAGGTCAATAATTTTTATACAAATTGCCTTTTGATCTTCTACGAGTTGCTTTCCGAGTCCCCGCGTACCCTAAATGTTATCGTAGACAAAATAGATGTAGTAGTAGTACTATTTGCCTCCTAATGGTCAGATAATAAATGTTTATGTGGTTCCAAACATTTTCAAATACCATGTATCAAAATAAGTTTGTAATTTCAAAGTCATAATTAATGACTTTTGTTCATCGATATTTGACACAATTATACCTGTATAGCCAGACTTAGCTGAGCTAGACTGCAATAATTAATAATATACGGTATCGTAAGTGATCAAGTAACGTTTGTAACCACTAATTGCAAATGCATATAAAATTGCTAACTATATTTTTTTATTGATTAATTTTTATATAACTTTTATTTTAGTATAGAATTCTAATTATCAAATTTTTTATATAAACAATTATTAGCTAATGTATAATGTGTATAATGTATATTCTTTCATTATAAATATTATAAATAAATAAATTCTATTTATGCATTTTCGAGGAGTTTTATAGTAAAGTTTATGAACCATCACTATACTTAATTCAATACAGTAGGCAATTAGTTTGAAAATTCTAGGGAGGCAACTATGGTATATTAACCGTTTTATTTATGATAAGGATGAGAAGCAATTCCTATATTTTGGGAGACAACTAGTATGCACTGATTTTTTTTACATAATTATTGTTAGTCTAATATTCTAATTAGGTAATGACTACTTTTTTATTTTGCAAGAAATGCATATTTTGATTAAAGAACGTAATGGCTTTAAAAAAAAATGTATGACAACTTCACATGATTAATATAAGAATTAGGATCTAAGCTCCTAAAAATATACCTAGAGCAAGCAGTGTCCGTGATTTTGAAAAAAATAATTACAATAAACCATTATTAATTGTTTCCAAAGGCTTATATCAACGCGGTTATTTTTATTAATAAACATATAAAATTATAAAAGCTTTAACACGAATAATATCTAAAATCAATAACCTTGATACTTCTGCTGAAATGCTGAATTTTTAGCAATACCTAGCATTTAAGCATAATTTTCTTTTTAACAATATAATCTCTTTTATAATATACAGAACTTCCAT